AGCAAACCACACCAGAGCACCCTCCAACCACCCATCTCTGAAAATACAGAGTCTGTAAGGAGGAAGGCCGACCATTCCCGGGCCGAGTGCTGTCTTGTACGTACTCAAATTACCGCCGCCGTTTTTGAGTTTTTCTAACTCTTTAAGCACAAAATAACTACAGTTGATATTCGTGTTGCGGAGAGTTTCGAATTCATTTTACATTTACTCCCATTTTCGAGACCAGCATTTGGTGCTTTCAAATTAATTTACATCCAAAACCAAAGTTATTAGATTTTTTTTCTAAACTTGGGGGGGGGGTTACGTCCCCATCGAAGTAATTAGGATTATTTAGGAGGCTGGGTTCTGAGACTGCCTGTTGGGGCCTTAACTCCAACCCGGGCTGAGAAGGACATAACATCCCAGCTGACATACCAAGACACTAGATAAAAATATTCTCCCAACTCAGGAATCGAACTCGAGTCAAGAAAGAAAAAAGAAGAACAAAGAAAGAAAGAAAGAAAGAAAGAAAGAAAGAAAGAAAGAAAGAAAGAAAGGAAGTCCGTGTATTACTAAGAAAAAAATGCAGGTCGAAGCGCACAAAGCGCATGAAAAACAAGGTCGGAATCAATGGAAGGAAGAAGTCTCAGATGGAATGATAGGGAACAAGCAGTGAAGACATTATGCAACACCAGCTGTTAAGAGACATCATTTAAACTCTCCTTTCAAAACTTACTTGACCTATTACGCACATCTGTGGTCTCTACTCTCAGCGGAGCTCACAGATAGCGGGGCTACCTGTTGTGTCGTCATGATGGCAAGTCTGTTAGCTTGATTGTTTGTTTGTTTGTTTGAGTGAGTGAAGAGAAGCACATCGACACAATGACTGTTATTTCGTGCCGGGAAAGAGTAGAACAAGCAGAAATAACCAAAAGAGGGAACAAAAAGATGCATAGGACCTACCAAAGGCGCCGTCTAACCACCAGCGCAAGTAATGTCAAGCGTTAACGGTATAATTTATTAACTTATTTTAAGAATGGGGGGTCGAGGTTTACTTTTAGGGAAGCATCCATTACTTTCCAATATGCAGGGATCTAAAAATAATAATATTAATAAAATTAAAAAATAGCCACACACACCATCATGATAACTATATAATGATAATATGATGACATACGGTGCATACCAATATAGCACGAACATTATTATCTGGGGAGACGGAAAAGTGCCTATTTCGTTGGTTTTGAGATAACGGCTCTTTCAACAGAATACGGTCAAATAAATGCCGAAGGTTAGAGTAAGGCGTTACAAGAGAGTAACAAACACAAAAAGTAGGAGGAGAGATAAGAACGATAGACGTTTGATAGGAAAGAAGAAGCAAACCATGCAAGAGCACCCGCCAACCAACCACGTACCTACTTCACTGTTTACTCAGCACATATTAATTTCCAATAACCCCATGGCTCTTGTTGCAAGCACAGCGTGTATTGATTTCAGGCAAAATGCTAAACAATGTGTTGTAACATTATTGTCCATGTAATTGTATATGAGGCCTTATGGCCTTCCAAAGCACGCCAATCACCAGCTGTCACAGCGAATACTAGGG